CTGATGTCACTCGGCCATGTTTACTTTACGGCTGGTCCTGGTCAAGTCCACTCCAGTCCAGTCTTGTCCTCCAGTGTTTTAACTCTTTTCAAAACAGCAGGTTGAATAAGCCTTTTGTGTTCTTAGTTGCCGACTGTGCCATATGTTCTATTCAGCTCCAGGTCCGAAAAGAACTGTTCACCAGCACCTTCCTGTTTTCATTAAAGACATTTTAACACATCCAGCCAGAACAACTATGGCTTTCATATTTCAGACTTAAATCTAAGCTTATGAATAATAAAAGAGTCTCCCCCTCGAATTTTCCCAGTATTGATTTCATATGCATGCCAAGGCTGCCGGACACACATTTGCCCATATTTTCAACATTTTTCTATTTTCTTCCCCTTCTCTAAAGGGGAATGTATTACACCCCCCCCCCCCCCTCAGTTTGCCAAAGATCAGAAGCAAAGGTCAGTCAGATTGAATACAGTTGTCCTTTGTGTGTCTCTTTCCATCTCTCGCTTGGTCCTCTCCCTTTTCGCTCTCCTCTTTCCCTCCTTCCCTATGGGGCTCTAAACAGGATTATCACAGGATTACACACACACGCTCACAAAGTGAGGTCGGATCAGGGGAATTTTTTTTCCCAGAGCACATTTGCACCCTGGAAGTTCACACAGGTTATAAACAAGCACTTAATGACAGTAAAGACACAAAGCATGTTCTTCTGCTGTGAAAACAATGCTGGGATGCTGGTTGTTGTGCCTCATTTGACAGAGCTCCACAATCAACTGGTGAAAGACTGACAGCGGCATCCAAATGTGACGCAAGCCAGACCACCACCCTAAATACACACTTCCTGGAAGAGAACAAGACATTAAAATTAGAACTTAATAGGGAAACCTACACAGACGTGGGAAAGTGAGACGGGTTGGTGGGGAGTTGATGACAACATTGGCCTTTCCCTCTCAACCCAACCCCCCTCCCCCCTTGTGTCTCTCCTTTTTTCCTCATTTGGAGGAAAGTCTGGGTGTAATGGGTTGTTCATGTGCGTAAGAGGAGCATGTTTACATCACTGGCAGCGTGGGGCCTCATCTCAATATTCCTGGATGGCATCTAAATCCAATTGGGAACTTGGTGAAGATGATGGCAGAGTCGGGGAAAAATATCTACGCCTAGGAAGCATAGAAGATAATAGAAAGGAAACTCTTAGGTACATAACTCCTGACTTTGTCCTTTTTGTCCACAACTTTCTCTTCCACATAAATCCATCAGTATATGCCCTCATACGCACACAAATACACCAACAGAGAAAGGCAGACAGACACACAGGAAAGATCGTTTTGGCTTGGAGCACTTGAAGACCGAGGGGACGTTGGCTCAGACTGCGCTGTGGTACAATGTATATATATATATATATATATCAAACAAAAATATGAATGCTCTCTGCCAGCACTTTCTCTCATTGCAGAAATGTGTCTAGCAGACGTTTGACACACGCTTTTGCACACACATATACACACACAGGGCGTGGCCTGCTGCCAACAACAAGACTTGTTTAACGAGTCTCAGTGCTTTGTTGATTTCAATCTCAGGCTTTGTTGTTTTTGTGAATCGCGCTCTCTGAGGCCGGTATTAATCTTCGCCATGTGTATACACAAAGTGTCCAGCACTATGCGGTATAACTGGGAATTGTCATGCGACAACGTTTGGTTCAAATCGGGTGAAGTCTTCTTTGGCTCTGCATTATTCCCCTCATTGCCAGGTCTGGGTGTTTTTAGTTCTATGGTCAACCTCTTCCTCAGTCAACACTTCTTTCCTTTCCTCATCTCCCAGTCACTTCCTCACCCCATCTTTCTCCTTGCTGCCTCTTTCTCTTTCGCCCTACTCCTCCTTGAGCTCCTGCGTCAAACTTCCCTTGGCCCTGTCCAGTGTTTGTGTTTTGGATTCTGTGTTCCTCGATGGCAGTGTGTGTGAATGCAGATGGACACTGAAGGTCTTGGCAGGACCGTCGGTTTCCAGGTGCTTCTCTGGTGTTTGGCAGCTGTCTGCCTGTGCCTGACTAAGCTTTCTCCTCCAAGCTGGGTCTGCTTTCTGGTCCCTCTTCTCCTGCATTACTACAGCTCCTAGTAACCTCCTGTAGTGTGGTACAGGCGTTGCCGCAAGACAAAAACACAAGAGCAGGGTTGCTTTTCTTTTTCTCATAACTAGAACATAACATGCACAACCCTTGTTGTGCATGTTATGTTCTAGATGCTCCTCAAAGTTCTCTCTCTCTCTCTCTCTCTCTCTCTCTCTCTCTCTCTCTCTCTCTCTCTCTCTCTCTCAAGGTAAAAAAGGGCAGGAACTATACTTGGGTTGCCATAAATATATTTTTTATTGTTTCAATATTATTTTGACAGCATGAATTGATAATTTAAATGGCTACAATGCGATTTTTTGATAATTAGGGTAATATCGTATACCCAGGGAAAATTGGGGAGGTTTAACGGAATTTTTTTTCTTTGATTCACTACTTTGTGCTTGGCAATGCTGCTCTCTCGCACTGAATTCACTCACTCACTCGTCCATTGCTGCTGTATTGATGCGAAAATAATACTCCCAAGTACAAAATCAATTTACATAACACCACTACCCTCTCCATTATCACTGTAAGAAATTGACATACATGTTTTGATACTCTTTAAAAAAACCTTTTATTCAAGCTTTCAGGAGAAACATAATTAATCTAAAGGCACATGAAGGTGTTGGTGTAATGACAAGCAGCCAGGACTGTGGCTCTGCACATGCACAGAGCAGAGGTTCCTCGTAGCACATCACAATGGATAGCGCTATTTGAGAGTACAACTTTTGTAGTTACTAACAACGCAGTGAATATGACCGTGGCTGTTACAGGTACAGTCATACAGGTTTACATAAAAACTCTTTTATGTTCTGAAGAGTTTAAGCATAAATTGTTAACAGGTTTATATTCACAATTTATTTGACAATTCCTTTAACAAAAAAAAGTATATTTAGTAGTGAGTTTTTTTCTTTGGTATCACCCAAATATTTTTTTTCTGTTCTTTAAATCCTTAGATTTGACACTGATGGTGGTTGATTCAGAGAAAGCCTCTAAACTTTTGAGTGGGCTTTCAAAGTATTCAAATGTTTGAATTTCTTCATTAAATAATTATAATAAAAAAGTGAATTTATAATTCACCAACTGCCCAGGTTTATATCAGATATTTAGTTTATATCAGATATTTAGTGCGCTAAACAAGGCACTAGTAGTAGAATTTTGAAGTTTGATCCAGCAGAGGGCGCTCCTCAGCACAACTTGACCATTGCTTGCCCTCTTGACCTCAGTAAATGAAGACAGTAATGCTGTAATAGGGGCGCAATTCAGGAGATGCAAATCTCCATGAGGGAGACTCCTCTCTCCACAGACTGCAGCTCACTGCTTTGGTGGAGAGACACCAGGCACTATACCCGCAACTCTCCAAGCTGGCTCACAAATATTTGTGTAGTGCCAAGAACAGGTTCAAATGTGCAGTACCGTGTCTTTTGATCAAAGTTGTCTTATTGAAAAAGTGACAGCCATACTCCCTTATGCACTCATTTTGGTTTCGTATAAAAGTGACCAAAGTGTGGGGTGAATTTCAAGAATAGATATCTGTCACATGCAAACAAAAATTCAGTTTTCAGCTGAGCATTGGGTTTTCCCGATTGCTGAATAAAACGTGATCCTATGGGTTGGTAGATTTTGTTCTCTGCCCTCATAAGAAGTTGATTTTTAAACACTGGAAAAACAGAGACCCCTATTTTACATTAGTTTTGGAAATTAGTATCAGCCAAATGTGAGTAGTTTTGTGCAGCGTCCGATCAATTTGCTGAAATTAACGGCCTTGGTGGCAGATACATAAAAGTTGCGCAATAGATTCACATATGACAGAAAACAACATGGATTGAACTCCGGTCTTCTGCTTGTTCTGCTCTGACTTTCTGGCAGAGTTGGGCGGACATGCATGCTCACTGGCCACAGGGCTCCACCTCCTCCTCCTCGTGTCAGAGAGGGTGTCAGAGAGGGTGCCAGCGTTTACAATCATAGGCTATATGCTAAAATTACTCTGTGTCACTTGAGCCCAACGCAGCACGGTTTGTTAACTGGTCTACCTGCTTTAGGTGTGTTTTAACTGATGACCTGCTTGCTTTGAGTCCAGGATGGTTAAATGTAGTTGGCTGTTGCTGACAGCATTGTCGAACATTAAGTGGAAGCTGTTGGTGTTAAATACAATGTTAGAGATCATGAATCATTTTGGGTATATTTGTGAGGTTCAAATATTTTTTCTAAATCCAGAAAACTGAATCCGACACATGTTAGCGCAGGCGTTTGAAAGTATGAACTCTCCTTTTATGAAGATGAGTCAGTTAAGGACAGCAATGATTTGGCTCCAGATTGATAACAGTGAATTCTTGTTGCCAGGTGTCCTTGGGAGAGGCTGAGAGGGATAGGCTATGGATATGTGTGCATGCCTGCACCCACTGACCTGTTATTTTTTGTGTGTGGGCGTGCAAGCATGCATGCGTGTGTGTGTGTGTGTGTGCTGTGCTGTACTGTACTTCATGGCGGCCTGACACAGACTACGATTGGACCAGTGATGCATTAGCCATGTCCAGAGATGGGTTGGTATGGAATAAATAATGGATACCATCCTTTCCCTCTGAATAAATCAAGACCAGAGAAATGGAGAGAGATTAAGTGTGGGAGAGAGTTGGAGAAATTGAATGCCAGAGAGAAAAGGATAGTTTGTGTAACTGAAAGAGCAGTATGGAGGGAAAATGTCCTGAATTTAAAATGAGCATTCCACCATGTGTCTGTGCAATGGAAAGGAAATGGTTCATGTTAAAATGCAGTTTAGTAGGTTTAGCACATAAAAAATTGGTATTTGAAAGAAGTAAGAATTAAAAACAAAATATGACAAATTAATTATTAGATAGGAGTGCATTTGTTTCTTTGCTTATTTTTTGTTTTTTCATCCCAGGCTCAGGGCCAGACCTTCACCTTCCCCGACATCATCCCAGATAAAGAGCGGGCGCCAACGGAGGGCTCCATGGAGGAGATGCAGGAGAAGTTCATGAAGGATGAGAAGCAGAGGCAGAAGCTGGACCCCAGGAGAGGAGGGGTCACAGAGTGGTTCGGACTCTGACAAAGCCCTCTGACAAAGAACCCTGCACTCGTATGCAAGCAGAGGGTGTTTCGTTTGAAGTAAAGTTTATTGATTTACAACAGGATTGTTGTGATGTCAGTTCTGTTTCTGTAAGAATTATTCACACGTTTTGAAGTAAGGAAGACTTAGCGTGTGTGTGGGAGACTGGAGACATGTGTTTGTGTTTGTGTGTGTGTGTGTGTGTGTGTGTGTGTGTGTGTGTGTGTGTGTGTGTGTTTGTGTGTGTATATGTGTGTATGTGTGAGTTTGCAATGATTCAATCCAGAAACCCGAGCCAGAAAATTATCACAGGAGGAGCAGAGTGGCTTGGTTCCATTTTTTTTTTCAAACCAGCCCAGTGTACAGAATCTCCATCACCTCAGATGACCTTCCCTCTTCCCTCTTTCCTCTCCACCTCCTTCTCCTCTTACTCCACTTCTCTGTCTCTCCTCTTTCCTCAGAAGTTCCCTTTCTTCTTCCTCTCCTCGTCCTTCTCCTATACTGCTCTTCTTTTGCCATGCTGAGGAGTGGTATATTGTGGTATCCCTAGAAGCCCTGACTCTCTGCCAGCTGGATCTGTCTACCTGGACAACCCACATCCTTTCCTCTTTTATGAGTTTGCCTTGGATTAATTGACCACTTTAGATAAACAACAATTTAAATGTTGTGTCAGCAAAGCAACGATATGGAATTAGCTGGAGTGTTTTATTATCTTGTGGTAACACCTCTTGCCATAACTCTGAGAGAAGATGTGTGTGTGCATGCAAGACTCGCCAGTGAATCTGTCTTAATTGTAAATGCTGTTGGAGTAAGACTAAATAAACGGTCACTTGTCCAAGAACTTCTCTGCTTACTACTTCTTGTGTTCTCCTCGCCTCATCTCTCAAGGCTGTTGCGCTCAACAACTGGCACTTCGAGACGCTGTTTGCCACACAAGCTGGCTCGCATCTGTGCCAGCGTGGTCTGGTAGCTGTTTTGACAAAGTAATGATCTGTGTTTGAATCAGCCTACTGCAGGACTTTGCTCTCTTACCGTAATAAGGCCCATAAAGGGGAGGGACCTCTCCTGGACTTTCTCAGGCCCTCCATTATGTGAGGCCAAGGTTACAGTAAGTGTCCCCCAGCCGTGACCACTAATGCTGGCTGGCTAATACAAAGATCCAGTCCCTGACCTCACCCAGCCAACTCAGTTATCGCTAAGGAGAATGTCAATATTGATCCTGTTGGCCCATTGTTTGCTGCCTGGAACCACTCACCTCCTGCGTCGCTATAAAGAAATCTGATTTTGAACCAAAAAAGAGCCCCTCTTTTTCTTTTCTGTCGGCCTCACTCACTTTTATTTTCTTCTTCCTCTCCTCCTTCTGTCTCTGCTTCCCAGTCAAGGGAAACAGCTGCCTTACAGACAGAGAGGGAGACCAAATTCCTGTCCGTGCTCTTCTCTTGGCCTGAGTGGACCCCACATGAAAGTTGGGAAATCATTTTCTGTTTTTTGCCAAAAAAACAACAACCCCGGCTCTCCCCCTGTTCTTTGTCACAGGGATACCCTGTGCCTTCTCAAGTCTGACACACACACACATGTATCATCGGTACATGCTGTACCCAACTCTTAAATCATCTGGCATTTGGGTTCTGACATATTATTCTGTTTAGTGCCTGCTGACAGTATGGTTGTGTTGTGTTTTGGACACTTTGAAGACTACTAATCAAAGTCATAAACGTGACGAATTTTTATAGAGCACCAACAGAAACTGAGAAACACTTGGTTAGTGAGCTCATCTCACGCTCACACAGATGAATATCTCTTAGTCATTTCAGCTCTTAACGGGAACAACTCATTTGTGTTTATAGAAAACAACAAATAATTCTGGAGTCAAACAATAAATGATGTGATAGCAATGAGATGGACAGTAAAACATGATCATGTGTCAACAACACCTCTGATCCACATGTGGTGAGATGTGTTTTCTTAAATCATTCATATCCTTATGGAAGTAGATGGATATGATTTGGTTTAACTCATCATGATAACTTGTGTTGACAGGGTAATTGGTCATATTATCTTTTATCTCTAAATTTTAATTGAGTTTCTGAAAGATGGCCTCCTTTAATTCAAAACATCTGTGAAGCAATCTGCCAGAATTGCATAATTCTTGGGCATGAATAAAACAGATTATTGTTTTTCTTTTCAGAAAAGAGCTCAGCTCAACTTTCTGCACCACAATAAATACACATTGTACAGTTTTGAATCATACTAAAATCCACAGTGAAAGAAAAAAAACTACCAGTAGTGTTGTATTTCAGATGATCGGCAGGTGCTGAAGCTGCCCCAATGATGATGATGATGACGTCTTCAGTGATGGCAGGGAGGAATGTTTGAGTCATCTACATAAGGTACTTGCACGGTAAAGAAAGCAGGCCCCACCACTTTTTTTTTCTATAGTAAGAGTGCAATATCCCCTCTGCTCGATTGACCCCAAGCTCACTGCACACATCAGCAGGCAGCATCTTAATAATGAGGTTTTGAGACAGCATGATGTGGTGACCCGTGTTGAATGGTAGGCCTGAAGAACAGGAAGACTCAAAGATGAGGACCATCACCTGTTTCCTCATGTTGCTGTCACCTTCAACAGCAGCAACCAAAGATGGCTGATTCCAAGGCAACAGTCCACAGTTTGCATCATAGCTGAGCTGTGAGTAATATTTGATCAAAGCATTGTTCAATTTATTCATATTTCCTCTCCCAACTTTGCAATTTACTCAACAACTATGAAAGATCTCAAAGATACCATGTCAACATGCTTGATTGTTTAATGAAGGTGACAGTAGACTTGGATAAAGATTATAGGGAGAAATAGTATTCATTATGTTTTTCTGATTTATGTTATTTTATGAGCAGAAGTGTGCTCACTTTAAACAGAAATCCATGGCCAGTCTGCTTTACATCCTCAGATCAATACGCACTCCCTGTTAAAAATACTCCACGTATAGGGATGTGTTGGCTGATAATTACGCTGTTAAGACATCATTTCAAATGATCAGTAATACAATGCATTTGGAGAATACAAGGAGAAGCTACTGTTTGTGCAAACAGTAGCAACAGTTGTTGAGAGGTTCTGTAGGAGCACAACCAACCAGTCCTTGCTGGCACAGACCGGTCAGAGCCGTCCTCCTGCAGAGCGCTCAAAGCTAAGTGCAGGCTCGTCAGCGCTTAAATTTACCCCTCAAGAAAGCCTTTTATACCTAAACTCTCCTCCACTGCACTCAAACCTGTCTACACTGTAAATGTCCTGCAAAACTCCACTGCTGTAAAAAATAATGATCGCTAAATAGCTTCAAAGACTTTTTTGTGCCTTAGCAACACACTGTACACTCCTCCCTGCCAGTTTCTCCCCCTTCCACTCCCTTCTCAGTAAAAAAAAAAAAAAAAAGGGTGCATGTACAGCTTTTTCCCCTCTGTCCGGCCCTGTCCATGCAGCTGGCAGCCATTTCCACGTTTGTTAACCCAGAGTTCGCTCAGCCTGTCAGACGGTGCTATGTGTCTGGAGTTTGAAGGAACGGGAGGACAGTGGGACGATGAACTTGGGATGACTGTAGGCAGCTATACAGATTTAGAGGAATCTATGTGTCCTGAACAAGATGCATCGCATATTGTAATGCACCACACGATGTGTAAAGTGCAGAGGAAGGGAACGTGAGCATGTGCGTGCTAGACGCAGAGAGAGCCCAGGAAGGATGGAGCGAGAGAGCAGATGGAGGTGAGGGAGACAGTGAAGAGGGTGAAGTGAGAGTGCAAAAGAGATGACATCACTTAGAAAATGCTGAGCTGGATTCAAGGACTACAAGATGAAAGAGGTCCACTTCCACAGTGCACCAACTCTCACTTTCTCTCTCTCTCTCTCTCTTCCTTCTCTTTCCCTCTCTCTCTCTCTTTCTCGAGATGTACAGTGCAGGTCGTGTTCCCATCCCTACACGGCTGGTTAATGGAGGGGGGGTTGAATATTTTAGACAGCCCTTCACTCTCCTCCTTTTTCTATCCTTACTCCTCCCTCTCCTTTTTTTTTTTCTCGTTCGGTTGTGCATTAGTCAAGTGCACACATGACCCTGTTTCTGCTACTGCAGTCAACGCTTGGAATCTGCATGACATCATGCTGTATTTTTGGGATTAGTGGTATAAATGGCGGTATAGTGAGTGTCCTCCCTGACTCCTTTTAGCTTCCCTAGAGGGAACATCTCCTCCTCGCTTGCCGTAGTAACTGCCCACTTGTATGGGAGCTCTTCTCATACAGATGCTCCACCACATCATCATGGAAATGTGAAGGAATTTGTATCCGGCATCGTACAGTGAAGTTGTAAAGAAAAGTCACACTTGATCTCATCATTATGGGCTTTTTCCATCCATGAGGGAAAATGATTGCATGTATGCAAGGGGAAAAAAAACGCTGATTGTATTCTGCTTCAGATAATAACAAAAGAAAGTTTAAGCTGGAGGCTTGGTTCCATACATTCACACAATTCATCGCCAACTGTCTGTAAAATTAAACACATTAATATAGTCACACAACCCCTACCAGGCTCTTGTGCAGATGCACTTACTTCAACACACTCACACTTGTGTTCACTAAGACAACCGGGGTTGCCTGCTGAGGATTCTGACGGCCTCTCTTGGATGAGCGCCATACACATTCCTGCTTCCCCAGGTTGCCACTGGTTCATCTGAACTCAGTCAGTGCACTCTGTCACCCCATAAGGGTGTGTATATTTGTGTTTGTGTGTATGTGGGTGGGTGTGTTGGTCTTAGTGTGAGTCCATGTACTGCATGCACCCTTACAAAAAAAAATACATCTTCCGTTTTTCCAAGAATTTACTTAAAACACACACAGACACACATGATGCTCACATTCATGCCTCATTGTGAACCACTCACACATACATAAAATGTACCCTGATGAGGCCCCTCAGTGTATATACTAGGTCTTACTGTACTCACATCTATACACTTGTTGGCTCAAAGCCAGGAGCAACAACTGAAGCGGGACACTGTAAAGAAAAAAAGTGGAGCAGCTGTTTATTGTTGCTTACATTACAGAGAATCAGTATATTTCACAATTTACTTGTATTTTTTAATATTAAGAAGATTCAAGAAGATTCATCTGATAAACCAAATTTAAATTCTGCTTTTGCACAACACACGTTGACTGAGTTGAAAGCCAGGCTTGAAATGGCCAGACTCAGATTTCATTTGATCACAGACAGATTTACATTCAAAGATGTAAAAAATCGTATCTTTTCTTTTTCTTTTGTTTTGTTAAGTTTGATCCAGCAATCATAAACCAAACAGAAGAACACCACATCACACTAAAACAAGTAGGGCTTTCACACTTGCAGAAAACTCCTGAAATAACTCCTGATACCTGCTGGAGGAGCTTATGTGTAACGCAAACAGCCACGGTGCACATAGTATATACACGCTGAATTACGTTTTCTGTTTTTCAGTATGTTGTTCTCTGTTCTTTTGTTGATGTTGTCATTCTGTTGAACTACACCTAGCATTTATATAAAGGCAAATATTCTCATTATAGCATCATATTGAAGACCCTGTTGCTTCGTCCGCTACTTCAGCTTTGTTTTTTTTTTATGTCACGTATTACCTCAGGAGACTACACGCCCCCCTCCTGTCTTACAGGGATAGTTTCCCACTGAAGTGAACAGCCAGATCAGGAGAATCTCCAAAGCAGTCCTTTTAAAATGATCTAGATATTTTCAGGAGTGCATAATGTGAAAAAGGCTAAGGTGTGCCATTGTTATATATATTATATATTACAATATTTTAAATAGTATACTT